GCTTAATATCTCCAAAACAGCAAATTGTCAGTTATGCCCTTTTGCCATGGGGGGGGGGCAGTATTGTGAGACACCAGCTTTTCTGTGTTAGTAATTCTGTTTTGTAAATTGCATACACATAGTAACTGCCACAAAATAGTGCACATGGTCACATACCTAACTACTGCTCATAGTTGATCGCAAATGAATTAAGTTCAAAACCACTACACATGGGATCTTGAATAATTTAAAGCCAGTTATTTTATTTTTTCCTATGAGGACAAGATTAGTGCATGCTAAAGTGTACTTTTCACAATTTTGTAAACCAGGTTGAAGTTGTTTCAGCAAGCAAATAATTATTTTGGGTGAAATAACTGAGATAGTCATAATTCATTGGGACATCGTAATAGCATACATAATCAGGGGTCAAAAATTATAATCATTACACTAAAATTGTGATAGTTGGCATCTCTAATAGTCTCTTTATTTGATATTCATTTGTTAATACATCAGTTATTGACAAAAGCACTAAACCAGGGGGTGGGTATTAAAATTTGTCGGTTGGCATAAGTGAATTTTCGATTCAAGTCTGAGAGCCACACCCAAACTTTGATGTTTCAGTGCATTTTCAAAAACCTTCAAATACTGTTTTATGGCCACTTTATGCTCAGTTTTACTACCACTGTTTACAGGTGATTGGTGCCAGGCCGCAAAAAATGAGGTGTTTTCTAGCCACAGATTGTTGGCATGCAGCACACAGAAAGTTTGCAATTCATTTTCGCGGGCCACAAAAATATCACTGGTGGGCGGCACTTTGCTAAAAAGTGCACTGTGCACTAAACTATAATGACACAATAAAATTGTATCCACCTCTTCTAGCTTAAGACAGTGCTTTCCTTCATTTTGCTTCTCCTCTAGATCTGCAAGCAATTTCAGCCAGGTTACTGGGGTAAGAAAATCCATGTAGGGCTCAGCAAGGCAAACCTTTTCCAAGTGACTTCTAAGTTCTGAAATTCCTTTGTCTTTCTTTAAGCTGTTTTCAACGGCAAACAGTTTTCTAACAACATGACGTTCATAAGGAGTATCTTTTAATGACAAGAATATCTTCTCCTCTATCTCCTTAAGCTAAAACAAGTAGAAAGTATACTAAGATTATCCATTGGGTCATTTTGGCTCAAATTAATAAACCCTATTGGGTTTTCCTTTTAAAACTCTAAAATACCATGATATGTCAAAAGAAAAATGTCAGCTTTAATTTCCAAGCAATTTTTAAGTTATGACCTTTTGATATTCTTACATGAAATAGGGTCGGTGGTAAAATCAACATCTGTAAGCTTTTATTTAACTAAATTCACTCATTTTTAAAAATTAGAATTGAACCTTTTTTTTTTGTATTTTCACATAGCCTAGTTTAATTCAAGGACTTGAATTAGTTTTTCCAAATATCATAGGAGTGATGTATTGCCCTACCTGATGTGTTATCATCACTCCTATGATATTTTCCTAACGCAAACTCACATCAAAATATCTTTAACAATCAAACAAAAAAAATTAGATATATATTATTTGACATTCAGTTTATGTATGATGCTTTTTTTACTTTTTGGTAGTTTCGGAAACCTCCCTCCATATTCATGTGTTCAGTCTTATATATGTGTAAAACTCTGTTAGTGCACATTTCTGCCTCACTGGAGTGCAGTCTCAGGCTTGACCACTACGTAATCAGAACACTGAAAAGGATCTATCAATATTGTACTATTTCTATTTGTCAAAGTATATTACTTAGGAATATCATTAACATATATAGAATTTTGCTATATATATATATTTAAGATGCAGTCTATACATTAAAAAATAAATACCGTAGGCGCGATCACCAAATTATCCAAGATGGCAAAAACGAGTCTAGGTCAACATCCTATCCACAAACGCGTCTGAAAAATCAACCATTCTAATTACCACGCTATATGAATATTCATTTGCTACACGCTTGAATTGCGGCTCGAGTCTGGACGACGGTGAATCGTTTGGGCACTTGTTGATCGTTTGAACGATTTTCTATTGTTTAATACTGTACTAACAGCCAGGATAACTGGCCCACTTGAGTGCGTAGAAATACTGGCGTTTTAAATAAATGTTATTAAGCAGATCCTATTCTTTCTTATACGTACATGTGGCTATGCTTTTTCTATGCTTATATGAAGATTTTTTTAATTCCAAGACAACGTGCCTGGAGGTCCAGGGCGTGGTATGCGCTAAGCCAGTCCATGTTCCATCCATTGCATTGGAATTCGCTTTGTACACCGCTCTGTAGATAGAACTATGTTGAGACTCTAAAAATAATGCTGGGGTTTTCTTCGCCAAAGTGAAGGAGGGTACATTGTAATTACAAATCACAAACATACTGTACTTCAAATATATTTTAAGTGCCGACGGTAAGTTGGTGTTACATTCTGGGCTAAATACAAAATTAAATCTAGACCTAGGTAGTCTGCCTATCTTTTTTTTCTATCCTCGCGCACAAGTGTTAGTTACACTCTCTACTGTGTATACTATGCGGCAGTGTATTTTCTCTACTGTAAGTTCTACTGTATGGTCCTCCGAATCGAGAAATGTATATTTGGTTGACTAGTAAAATTTAGATAAAGACAATAGCTTTTGTTATGTTAACAACAAATCATGAGCTTTAGTTTTAATTATTTAACTGATTGCGAACTACAGTCCTTTTTCAAATAAAACTGCAGCGATCTTTGACAATTACTTATTTTTAGTTGTTTTTCTTTCTCTCTTTTATACATTGAACACACCAAATTTGTGTGTGCTGCTGAAACCAAAGTTGAATAAATAAATAAATTACATTAATATCGCGAGTTGTCAGTAAAACCTTTACTGGGTAGGCAATGGTTTAGCCTTATGTTTTTATTTTTTTTAAACGTGTTTTGCATGAAATTCACGGAAATTCAATTAATAAACGTTGCTTTATAAAATGTAAATATAATTTAGCTTAGTATACTGCAAGATTTCATCTATTTGATCATGGACAACGTTTTCGAGGCATGGGTTTTGGCATGTGATCCCGTTCAATGGCAAAAAGAGCAGTTATATTGCTGTACTGGAAGTTAACACAGCTTCACAAGATGCCGATCGCGCTTCTTAAAACTGATGGTGGCCTGCGACTCCTGCTGCGTCTACATCGGAAATAACTAAAAAATCAGATTTTTTAATGTTATATTTGTTCATCGCTTCGTAAAATCACTGATATTACGATAGTTTCACAGTACTAGGCCTACTGAACGAAGTCCTAGTACCCAACCGACTATTTGTTTAGCATCGACCAGGGACTTTCTCTGAGTTTACGTACTTCTGTCAGTTCTTGCACACATCCAGGCGGCGTAAAAAGAGACGTTCGCTAGCAGGTAAACAAGACCGTACTTGGGTATAGGGCCTCACAGTCAGTCATATTATGATTCATTTTATTGAGTCGTCTGGATGCGTTTTATGGTGCATCCAATCGGCCACAGTTAAAGGGGAGGAGCATAGGCCAAAACGGAATATCAGCATCCAAACGATGTGCTATTCAAACAGTGTTTTCAGAAGCGTTTTTGTAGAACAATAGAAAACGCGTATGGACGCTGATTTGTCGTCTGGAATAATTTGACGATCGCTCCTAATTCGCATCTAACAACAAGAAACTCCCCAATTACAAGATGGAACAAAGCTTTTTATAAAAAAAAAAAACCAAAAAACTAAATGTCTTCATCTAAGGGAGTGGGGGTTCAATTTTTCATAGGAAAAAGTTGTGTTGTCATATAGTAGGAGCTGAACACATGACCCTGAGATCAGGAGGCAAACATCTTAACCAATTAGCTATACCACTTCAATTCACTGAATTTCAGCAGTTTATTCATAATTTAAACAAAAACCAACCTTCTGTTCTCTTCTTGTTTTGTTTCCAGATAATTTTTTCATGTGTGTTCCAACAATGAATATAGGTGGTGACAGTTGCTGTTGACCTGCTGCTTGTCCACTTACTTTTCCATTTGCATGTATTGACTTCAGCCAAAAATGAAGCCGTTCAAGATTTGTCTCTTCAAGCACTACTGTCTTTGATGAACTCTTTAGATTTAACTTCATCTTCACCTTATTCATGCGAGTCTAAGTCAGTGAAAAAAACATTTAAAAAAATGTTTAAAACTGGCCGGGTTACTCAGCATTTATATCAATTGCAAATTAATTATAAGAAAATAGAAATAAGACAAATGTTATACTCTAAGACAACTATAATTGTATAGTTGCCTCATTCTCTATTCAAACCTTCTTTTATTATCATCTACAATCACAATTCTAACCTAGTATATTATATTAAAGGTGAGCGCCGTGGAAAAATTTTCTATTGATTATATATTATAGTTATTATCAATCTATTGATTCACCTATGTTTCGGGATTTTTCTGAATTTTGTTTTGCTACATGATTTTTTTTTTAAATAAGTACTTTTTTTAAAGTGGGGGTATAGGTAAACTTACCCAGCAAAATCCCTATTCTTTTGCACACAAATGACCTTAAGAGCAGGCATTTTGAAAAAATCATAACAAATAAACAATGGGGCAAAAAATTACACTAAATGACTAAACTAGGGTAAATTTAGTTGAACTTTTCATTTCTGGTTTTTATTTTACATCAAGTACGTATTTCTGCGCAATTATTATTTATTCCATACCGTACCGACTTGATTTTTTTCACTTTCCGGGAAGTTAACTGCTCTGAGCTTTGCACATGCGCTAACTTGCCAATCCAAGTACCAAATTGGCCAATTTTTTTGTTGAGATTACACACATGATATCTTATAATAATGTATTTGAACACATAGTGAAGAGAAAATGTATGCTCGGAGCTGGCCTTTAAAATGTAATTACTTTACCTGATCGCTGTATTGAATATGCTCATGTTTGAGATTTGAGTCCAAGTCATCCAAAAGATTGAATGCAAGAATATAAACAGCTCTTGATGCTAAGAACACCTGAAAAATTATAAACAGTTATAAATAAGCAATACAAATTCTCTTTGAATTATTATCTAATTGAAAATGCAATGACACAACAATGACAATAATAAAAAATAGTAATATATAATAATGTAATAGTAATATATAATAATATGCATTAATAATATTAATTATACAATTCAGACAGCTCAGTTTGCTTAATACTGAACGGGTTTTTCGGATGAAGCTAAGGCCAGTATTTCACTCATAGAGTACCAACATCTTTGCTGATTTGTGTAAATTATTGTATATTTTTGGTTATATTTTGACTTACACTCTGATGTAAAATATTATATTTCACCGGAGTGAATGAGTAAGAATGCAATAATGCATCTAATAAAATAAATGAAACTGTACAAATAAACGACATCACCATCAGGCAATGCTTATGCTACTACAGTTTTATCTACTACCGTTCAGATGTATGGCAAAACAAACAAAATGCAAGGTAAGTCATGTATATTAAAGCTGAATAGTGATTATGCAGTAAGTCATGTATATATGAATTTGAATGAAAAAGTGGTATTTTAATGAGTTGTGTAAAAGCAATGTAAAGGGCTTCCTTAATTCTAAGTTGATAATTACTGTGAGCTAAATCAAGATTATAGAAACATTCTGAAATAGATGTGTTTTTGCATGTACAGTAAGAGATTTTTGAAGTTGTTGCAAAATGTGTGAGGACTTATCTTGAATCAAATGCTCTTGTGGTGTCTATTGGTTTTTTTCAATGAGTTACACCTCGCGCAAATAAATGTTTAAAAAATCATTAAAAAAATATTTAAAAAAATTTTCAATCGAAGATGAACATTTTTTTCAATTTCTAACACCCATCAATTAGATTCACTATAGAAAAGGAGTTCAACAAAAAATACTCTACTCTTGACATTCTTTTAGATAACTGATCATAACTCCGAAAGGTCCACTGATTAATCTCAGATAAGAAAGTATAATACATACTCCAAGTAATTGAAATACACGCCATCATGTTGGGATTCAATGATCATAACTCATTAATAACGCCAGCCTATCAACCCATTATACCGGCTTACTAACAAGTTTCCACAGCTTTACATCACACTTAAAAACCTGGACTCGTACCCTGACTGATCATACTTTTATAAACACTGGATGCTTTTATAACCATTTAAGAAAAAATATTTATTTTTCAAAAAATTGTTATCCCATTACCTAATAAAATAATACATTATTTTTTGAACAGAAAATTTAGGATCCTCCTATCATGCTACTTTCTTATTTCAAGTTACCACATATACCATAATCCAAAAATTGCCAATGAAAAATCAACTCCAAGGTAACAAATATTGCTCAAATATTGTTGTTAAACTTAATTGTAAACAGTGGCGGACCATCAAGGAAAGAAAGGTTTGCAGTGCAAACCCTGGCTAAAATAAATTTTAAAAAAAATATAATAGTACAGTTTCTATGTTTTATTTACCAATTTTTAGTCAGCATCTTCAAAATATACCTTAATTTTTCAAGTGAATTGCTACAGTTCATTGAAATAGCAAAGTTTTTCAATGTTTGGCCTAATTTGGTATCTAGGATAAGTCACAGTTGGGCATCATACTCTCAGCTGCTTACAATTTCCCCATGGCTGGTTTTCAATATCAGCCAATCACATATTCAATGAGTCGATGGGAGTAAGAACATACCCTACAACGCTTGAATATACTATTGTGACAACCGTGTGGTGAGGTCAGAATAGCCAATTTAACACTAGAATGGAAGCGGTGCTTCCAAGAGTATGTGCGCATGCTCTTCTTCTCACAAATCGGAACCTCCACTGCCGATCGGGTATTCTATCAATAGGCCTCATTGATTAAAGTTTATAAATTTGCATACATATGACTGGTATAGAAGAACTTTCAATTGTTATTATTTGATTTGAAATTTGTTAAAATACAGGAATAGGAATTCTTTTGATAAGAAAATACTACAACCATGAGCTTTTAAAAGTAACATATTTGTATTTTTACAATCCAATTCTGTATAATTAGGCTTACAAAACTTTTCCTACTAGAAGGCCCTAGCATCAGTGGTGTAAGGGTCTTGAAATGGAAGGGAACTGATAGGGGTGGGAAAGTAAAGTTGGGGATCGGTGATTATGTAACTCGAAAATAAGGTGATTTGAGGTGATTTTAACTACTTGAGCTGCTTTGTGGGCAGGGCACAACTGGGAATAAATGAGTATTTCTTTCAGGTGGGGTTGGGGATATGAAGAAAATTAAAAAAGATTACCTAACATCTTATTCAGAATGTCTGATGATGATGTGCGACACGCTAAAACATGTCATTTATTAGTATCATAAATTATACTTCTAGTAGTACTTTATGAAAAACTGTTTATTGATTGAAGACTAAACTATTTAATGCATTCATGATATTTCGCATTTTTTCAATGTATTTCTTGTAATTTGTCTATTTTCGTATTTTTGAGATTTTTCTGCTGCTGCATTGGAAATAGACCTGCCATCAGGGCTTGTTAATCTCCAACGGGCATTAATCAGTCATTGTAAAGTGATTGAATACCTGATGTGTTGAAGCATACACCTGCTGGCCTGCAAAGTCATATATCTTTACAGACAGTTCATTCCCTCTGTTTGGTTTCATTTTTGACGAATATTTAAGTACACTTTCAGCAAAGTCATTTGGAAGTGCTAGCTCTCTATTCATCTTCTCTATTTCCTTCTTCTGGTCTTTCTCTTGTGTTTTTAAACTTGTTGACAATTCAACACATTTCTTTTTGTGACGTACATCTTTATTTTCCTCTACATCTTCGAGATGCTCAGGCAAATCTAAAATATGTACAAACATAGTTTTTAAACTAAATACAGTATATCAAACATACTAACCACCTATTCATACATAACTACAAAGACCTATAAAGTTATATTATATTTTTTTAAAGTTCAATTTTTCTGGGAGGAGAATTACTATACTGTATGAAAATGAATAATTTGACTTAAATACATGTACTAATCCATTCTAAACAAAGTACATTGCTTGTTTATCAAAAATATATTCATAATTATGATGTAGCCTGAAAATATATATTCTATAGTTACAGTATATACCTCATATACTACCGTATACTAGTAAAAATTATGGAAATATCAAGGAAATTACAATCAAATATTTATAATAAAAAATATATATATAAATTATATTATAACCACCTACCATCTCTTATTTAAGTTTTAATAGACATATTATCATGCGCAATTCTACATTAAGTAGCAAAGATTTCTACAATAGTAATCTTTTGTATTGGTTTAGGAACCACTGGGGCGATATGTACATTACCATAGAATACTACAGTATGTCGCTGATGTTAGTTATTAATATCACCCTGAATTTACAACAATGTATTTTAATTTGTAAGTTGCAAACATTGACAACTATAACTGATACATAGTAAGATTTTATATTTTATTAAGTTCTTAATCAGAAGACATCTAAGGTTCTGATACATCAGTTGAAAAAACTTTTAAAAAAAACTGTTGCTTAGCTTTGGAGGCACTCAGTTGTATTGATTGCTTTAGTAGCTCAGCCGTTGCATATCTAGACGTCTTGAAATAGGAGTGCTAATGGGGACATAAACGTGAAGTAGGAGGCACGTTGACGAGTTGAGGGGCGCTAATTCGCAAAATAGGGTGATTTTAGTTGGTTTTCAACTAATTGACCGTGATTTTTGGGGGGAACACTGGGAGGCACAAGTATTTTTTGGAGGGTACACCCCCTGCGCACCCCCTAAATACGCTACTGTTGTTCAGATAAAGTAGTTTTACAAGGTACCATGATGTAGCATCATACTAGCTATATCCAGAAGTATTTGGAAGATTGGCATGCTTAATGTGTTCAATCACTTCACAAATTTTATTGTGCATTCACTTTAAAATTTACTTGTATTTAGTAAATGGTGTTTTGATGAATTGTTTAATACTTTAAGCCTCTCTTATTAGGGTTTTTTTCAGCATATGAGTTAGAAGAGTTTGCCGAGTTGCTAAAACTTCGGGAAGCTCGTGGAGAAATCGTACCTATTCGTAGCAGCTCTGAACTCGTGGCACTAATTTTGAACATGTTCAACTTGTAAGCAACTTGTAAGTATCACGAGTTCAACTCGGAGAACTCATGCGACTCTTGGATGAAATCAACCTAGGTGGAGAGGGGCTTTAGTTTTAAGTTTGAATGATTTGTTAAAAATTGTTATACAAGCTAAGGATGTTAAAGCATTCATTTTGAAAATATCAAAAAATGATGATTAATAATGGCATATCACCATCAAATGCTGAACATAAAAAAGAACATACCGTAGGACATAACAATTTTATACAGTATAGTGGAAAACAATACAACAGAATTAAAAACAACAGAAAGAATTTGGAAAAAAGAGTCCTGCCTCAATAAAGCAAGTTTGAATGGTAATTATTTCTAACCTTTAACCTCTGAAGAAAACTTGGTCAATGATGTCTTCTCTTTATCTGAGATATATAATTGAAAGTAAAGGCCTGGTTTACTACAATAACGATCAACAATAAAGCTAAAAAGCAATTGTTAATATAGAAAATAAAAGAATTTAAACGTTTTCACAGTAGTTTTATCCTATGTATAATAAAAAATAATTTCACAAATCTAATCACAAAAATCATTTTTACTACTACGATTTTGTCGTTTGCCGTGATTATGATGTTATTTGATTTAATTTTCAAAATATTTTGTTACCGTATACACGATAAATTGATATTGAATTGTGCTAGTGTGTAAAGTGCTCGTATTTCTTATATTTTCTATAGGAACAATTGTTTTTAGCTTTGTATCGTTGATTGCTATAGTCATAGTGTAAAGAGGCATTTAATGTACCTTGAATATCCATGTGCTTCATCTGAACAGTTATATCTAAACAAAGAAAATATGTTATGATATGGATAAATTATGAAAAAAAGTAAAGAAATGAATGAACAAATATTTAAACTTGATCCTTTAAACTTGTATGTACAAAACAGAGAAAAGTTAATCAATCGATTACTTTATCATCCAAAACAACACCAGGAAATTACACAGTAGAATTTAATGTATCTACGTATGTAATGGATATACATTTCTAAAGCACCCTCTAGAGTAAAGGGGATGACAATTCAAAAAAATGTTGGATGAGAAAACTGTTGAACTGAGGTGTCTTGTTTTTACTTTTATCGTTTGTTGTGAGAAGCTACAGTACTGTATATAAAAATCAGACTCGTAACAGCACAGACGTACTTCAGAATGTCAGACCCTGCAATATACTGATAAGTTCAGCAATCAATGTCACTGTCAGAGCCTGCAAAATGTTGTCAGGGCACATCAATAATGAATATCAATTGATGTCAAGAGCCTGCAAAATGTTGTCAGGGCACATCAATAATGAATATCAATTGATGTCAAGAGCCTGCAAAATGTTGTCAGGGCACATCAATAAAGTATATCAATTGATGTCAAGAGCCTGCAAAATGTTGTCAGGGCACATCAATAAAGATCCAACCACGCCCACTATTTTTCTTCCCCACCACCCGTAGGTAAATCCTGGCGCCACTCCTGATATTACATTGATTTAAGTAATTGTCTGAATCTAGCACTCTATGTTTGACTCTGATTTTAGTTTTATTTTGGTTGTTTTAATGTACAGTAATCATACTGTCTCTTATACACATCTAGATGTGTATAAGAGACAATTATTATATCTTTGTTTTAATACTGTTTTTTTACGATGCTATGCAGCAAACTTGATTTCAATACACAAGTTGTTTGAGGCAACCATTTATTGTATTTCTGAGTTACTATTTCATTAAAAAATTAAAAATTACCTGTTAATGAATCAGTTCCTGTATCTTGAGTGATTTTCTTATTAATGAAAAAAATTGACAGCAAAATAATAGTAAACAAACTTACATTGGATTTTTTATGCATAGGCAATTTTCAAAATATTTTACAAAACCACACCTAACCCTCCCCACAACCCTTAAAAAAAAAAACTATTTGTGACTCTAAATCAATAAGGATAAATAGGTAATAAGTATTTCAATGAAATAATATTGAAGCCATATTCGATATATTTTTTTAATAGGAATATCTTCAAAAAGTACCTTTATGCCTATTTTCTTGTGATACCATTTGATTTTGAAAAGCGGTAAATATAGCCTACAGTGTTTAACAGTTTACAGCTTGAATTAATAAAATTACCTTGGTTTTTAGTGATGTGTCTACAAAGGATTCAACAAGTGCTTCTTTATGAAGCTGTTTGGCTTGTCCTATAAGAAAAATATGTACCAACTTTAAAACTTAATTTGATGATCAGCTTCACGAGTAAAATATAATAAATCTTAATTTGATGATCAGCTTCATGAGTAAAATATAATAAATGAAACTTAAAATCAAATTACAACACTGTTTTATTAACTTTAATTTATATTATTAAAAGGAATATACAAAGTTAGGCTAATTATATGACAAATTTATTAAAGATTATGTCACATCATATAAACAAACACTTTACTTGTTTCAAAAATTCTAATTATACCGTAAAACCTCGAATTGAAGCCCTGGGCAAACTTTGGATGGGCTGCTTTTTAAGGCTACTTTTGCCAAGTAAAGAGGGTGGGGGGGGGGGCCTTTATTTCAAAATGAATGCTGTGAATTTTGGTAATTACAACTATAAAACAATAAATAGGGCCACAGTAACATCAATCTGTATCATGATAACAAGCTTTATATCACCTAAACCACTGTATAAACCAAGCATGTTTTAAATTTATTTTTGTCTCTTTGAAATTCATGTACAATGTATGTCATTCTATCTAGAGATAGGCTTTTTTTCAAGGCTATTTTTGCAAACTAAAGAAGGGGCTTCATTTCGAGATGGGCTTCTTCCCGAGATTAAGCCCATTGGGCTTCAATTTGAGGTTTAAAGCTTGGTTCCCATTAGGACGCAACACAACGACGCAGACGCAAAGTAATGATGCAACTCAAGGGTTCTGCGACTTCCAAGTGGGAACCGACGACGCAAACTTTGCTACCAAACGCAACATCAACGCTACTCAACTTTTGAGTTGTATGCAGATCGTTTTTGCATTGTTTGCAAAAAGTTGAATCGATTCAACTTTTAGCAACACAAGCGCCGCAACACAAGCAAAAAGCTAATTTGCCCATGCTCTAACTGTTGGATATGTAGTTGTAGTGCTTCGTGTTTACATTTTTTGATGAGTTTTCTGTTATCTTAGACCGTTGCCATCGCTCTAGTCATTGCCAATTAATAATTATTATTGGTTGTTTTCAATGATGCATGCTGCTATTATTACTATTATTATTATCATAGCCTATCCTATCATAAAACCTATCATAACCTGGCCTGGCCTGGTCTGGCCTAGCAAGCTAAGCCTATAGCCTAGTTTTGATAGAACCACTTACGGTGTTCTTCTACTGAATGGCATATAATACTGTTAACATTAATATTTATAATAATATGCAACGCATCTTTAATACTCAATCGTGCCAGGTGAGGAGGGCGGCAGGGAGATAAACCACAAGTCATCGGGGAGAACAACAATTATCTATTTTCTACATAGGTTTAATTAGTAGCCTCTAAAATCGATTACATGAATAAGAATTTGAAACCCATTAATTGTCATATATTTTGGGGCTTCGCTTCCCTGGAACACTTTTGCGAGATCCAACCACGCCCACTATTTTTCTTCCCCACCACCCGTAGGTAAATCCTGGCGCCACTCCTGATATTACATTGATTTAAGTAATTGTCTGAATCTAGCACTCTATGTTTGACTCTGATTTTAGTTTTATTTTGGTTGTTTTAATGTACAGTAATCATATTATGTTATGGCAATATATTTATTCATTTGTTATACAGATCTGCATAAACAAAATTTAAATCCTAGATTTACAAAAACATAAAAATGTCATACAATTTGTAATTTAACATTAGGCAAACAATGTACTCTATATTTAATTCAATATTTAAAATTAATAAAATGATAATAAAATATTACCTTTTAAAATACGGCCTAGGCGCAGTAATGTTAGGTAATGTTTAAGTTAATAATTACTGCAAATAAGTGTAAAACGTATATTTATTAAATGGACCTAGGCCTAATCTAGGGGCTTATATCTGCAAAAATTGTATAATGTTGATTTTTTATTTTTTCTTTGGGGTAGGCCTATTATTACAGCTGAAAAGCAAAACCCAATTAACTTTAAAGCATTAAAACAGGCATAAGCCATCTATATGCCTGCGATAAGTAATATTCAGAACACAGCCCAGTCCCACCCTACAATACATTAGTAGCCCTACAATGAATGCTAATTTAATGGCTTTTTTGAAAGCTTCCCGTGAAAATCATTGCATTTACGCAGTGACAAGTGGGAACCGTATCCATTTCGTCACATAGCAAGTGCAAATTCAACTTTCCGTAAGGAGGGGAGCATTTCCTTACGTTGCGGCGGGTTTTCTGCAAGTGGGAACCAAGCTTTACAGTATATTAATAAACAGTTGATGCATTTATTATACAGGTCTTCCTCCAATTATAGACCACTTTTAAGACCGGGATTTAGCAGCTTTCGTCTCTAATACAGTAGAATAATAAAAGATAAAAGATATTTGTTAATTTGGGACCACAATAATTAAAGGTGGTCTTTCATTGGAGGGGTCTTTAATAGAGGGAGACCTGTATACACAGAGGATACACAGTGGGGGCTCTAGGATATATTTTCTGGGGGGGAAGGGCCTGAGCTGTCTGACAGGGGAACTTGAGCTTGTAGGCCTGAGCTGGGGAAAGGGTTTGAGAGGGGGTGGGGGTCCCTCTTCCCTCCCAAATGAGATTTTTTAAAGAATAGCAACCTTTTAATGGCCTGAAATGACACTCTCAGACTGTGATAGACATGTGTTGACTTGGCGTGGGCCTATCTTTATACCTTTTTTACTCTGACTGCCTGATGAACTCTTTTCAATGGGGGGGGGGGCTTGTCCTGTTTGATGGGGAGAGGGAGAACATCACTTACAAAATTACCTTACTCTTTGTATTATTTAAACATACTTTTTCATATATTTATTTTTTTATTTTTTATTTTTTTGTAAGTACTAACCTTCTTCTTTAGAAATGAGTGTCCATGTATCATTAGGTTTGATACGACAAAGCTTGGATATTACTATGCCGTCGGTGCTTGGTTCATGTTGATTAAAGCTTAAACAAAAGAATATTATATAATTTAATTAAACAATAAAATGTGAATTTACATAATACAGAAGCAGCCTACCACCATTTTTCAAAAAAATTGTACCAGTAATAGAAAAATCTTGTGGCCGTCATTTGTTACAAGCAGACAAGTGACCAGATGAATCCTTTCACCAGCTTTGGCTCACACAGAATGAACTGTTGCTACACTGTCTTTTGCATTACAGTGCTAAATTTAATTTTAAAAAAAATTTTAAAAAAACATTAAAAAAAATGTTATTCCATAAAATGGTGTCTTGAATCTTAGTACATCACTGAAGCTAATACTGCACAGCATAGTCTAAACATGGATTCCTATAGTCTGCAAGAGTCCAGACATTTTTTAATCCAACGAATCATGGTATATGTGCACCTAGAGTCTATGGTATTTACAGACAAGACTGTAAAAGTTATATTGTAAAAAGACCATGCACAGCAGTCTTAGTGGTTGTATGATGGATAAGTAAAAAATAACAGAATTGAATAGGCCTAAAGATACATTGTTATCAAGATTTATATACTTAATATTCATCTTTAATCTTTATTACAGAAAATAAAATTTTATATTTAAGTAAATTTATCTTTTTGTCTTTATCAGGAGACAAGATTATTATTAGACACATCCAAAATTAAAGTGTATTCAGTCAAACCAGCAAATATGTTAGGTTGTACTGTAGTGATAGGCCCTCATGCTGCCTATAATAGTGTGTGGCTTACATGGTGTGTATGTTCAAGGTATGTTGCTATTGTACTATGGCAGCTCAGAACCATGAACTTGTTGTCTTTTTAAAAAATCTTTCATTTATATAATATTGTTAGAATTTTATAGTGGTATATACTAATCTAAAATTTTCAATATTATATAGTGGTACAGTATATACTTTTCTTCTTTTTTTTTTTTACAAACATTCCAAAAAGAAATATTAGCATGAGGCAGTGAAAAAACAATGTCTTTTTATATTTCTGTATATACACCATTTGTTATCACTTCAAAATGTCTAAGCATTTTAGTGGAGAAAGAACACACTGTGATTAGACTTGTAATTAATCAATATGATAAACATCTCACTATTTTCATGTAACTAGTCGTAAGGTTTATTCCATGGAAGATTGTTAAAATATGCCTAAAAAATATTTTATGAATTTTTATGAAAATTCCACAAAAACTTCCTACTCAATATACTAAAATTTATTTTAATTCTTTTTTATTGCTATGAGTGCCACTAGGCTAATATCTATAGAAATAATTAAGGCACAAAATAAAATCATAAAATGGTAACTCTACATTATGGAATACTGACATTACTCTACTGAAGTCAAATGACCCACATAAAACTATAAGTGGGGGGTAGTAATGCACTCCACTGAAATCAAATGACCCACATATCCCACCAAGCAAACTATAAGTAGGGGGTAGTAATGCACTCAGATGTGTATAAGAGACAGGTGTTTTATTAACTTTAATTTATATTATTAAAAGGAATATACAAAGTTAGGCTAATTATATGACAAATTTATTAAAGATTATGTCACATCATATAAACAAACACTTCACTGAAATCAAATGACACACATATCCCACCAAGCGAACTATAAGTGGGGGGTAGTGATGTCACTCCACTTCAATCAAATGACCCACATATCCCACCCAAAGCAAAATGCTGGTATACATGTGGGGTACCAACGTTAATCTACTGATGTTAAATGAACCACATATCCCAATCTAAGCAAACTATACGTGCAGGGTAGCGATGCCAGACTACTGAAATCAAATGATCCACGTATCCACATTAAGCGAACTATACGTGCGGGGTAGTGATGTCACTCTAATGAAATAAAACAAATGAAAGGCGATCAGTATATTGAATGTATCCGGTTTGGTGTGGGAATCGTGGAGTTTTTCAAAAATAGCCAGTGAAGTTTCTTTGGACTGTTTTAATGTTTTCAATACTTAGGTTGCATACTTCAAAACTACTGTGCACACTTAATTTAATTAAACATCTGGAATCCCCACCATAAAATAAATATTAATTTAAGGTCGGATGTAATTGTAACTTCAAGGTATTTATGCGTGGTAACTAAAGACATGAGAGGGGTAAAATTCATGGTATAATTGTATGGATATTTTTTTCCCAGTGATACACATGATTTTACATTTGCTGCAGCTGAGGGTCATGCTATTGACCCTTAATGTTGGCGCATCAGATGGGTCTGTAGATAAGTTAGTCGTCTGCATATAAGAACATTGACGTACCGGGAGAAATTGAGGAAATTAAGTGATTAGGAAATATAATAAAGTATAAAGGTCCCATTATGGAGCCCTAATGTACTCCACATGCCACGGTAACAAAATTTGAAATACAGCCTTGAAAATGGACACAGTGAGATCGGTTAGTTAGGGAGTGTTTGGTCCAAGACCACAGTTGCCTCAGGAAACCTATGGCGTGTAACTTAGGTACGAGAGTGTGATGACTCACTTTGTCAAGCCAGACTCAAATCTAAGAATAACGGCATGAATAATGGAATTAAATTTGAGGAAATAATAGACATGATTATAAATAAGGCGCTCCAAAACTTTACAGATGACAGATGTATGGGCAATTGGCCGATATATTTTGATGTCCTTTTTGTCACCTGTACTTTATATGGTGGGGGGGGGGTAACACACAAGTTTTTCAGGTGAGCTATTGTTTTTTAACTTGATAATAAAACTATGGATGGACTCATAAAGTATGCAAAGGTCTTTGATAGGCGAGTTACGGTAATTCACTTGTTTTTGTTTTTTGTTAAAGTAAAATATTAAACTCACGGTTTTTGAACTAGTCTATTGGTAATGCATGTTTTCCCAACATGTTCGTCCCCTAACACCATGATTTTGACATTACATAGTTTTTTCCCTCCATCTTCTATTGATGTATTGAAGTTTTCTATTGCTTCCTCTCCACGAAGAATTATCTCTTCAGGAACGTCTGGAAAAGTGTACAGCAAAAAAGACATAATCAGCAACTTTGAACTAAGAATTGGCCGCCTTGTGTATGGGGCAGCAAAATATTATAGTACAATTGCAAATGTCTAATTTAACAAAATTAGATCTAATTTCTCGAACATCTGTCTAAATTATTTCTGTGTTGTTAAATAGCAAAATTAAAAATAAAAAAAGTCAAAAATTGGTAAGATTCCCATGTTGGACAGTCATCCTGTCCACTTAGTCAGTAATATTAGCATTTTAAAAATACAAAAATTTTATTTATTGCCACTGTTAAAATCATATTATTTTAAACACTTCCCATAATTGTGTGTTTTGCTTATGCCATTTTTGTAGACTTTTTGTGCTTTTATACCAAATCATCAGTAAGTCGAATGATTGAGTATATCATGTTTACTGGTAAATGTATGCTCTTTAAATATTATGTAGATAAGTAGGTCCAGTATCGTTGTCTTTATATGTATGTATATCAGAACTTTATTATTTTGTATTTACGAATGTTAGGACCTCTGAACAACCAATGTAATTTCCATGAGGACAAAAATTAATAAATTTGATTCTAATTCTAATATTATATAAACTTTATTGTTTCAATCTTTTGTTTAAAAAATAAGCCTACGTTCTCATAGTTATTTTTCTGTTATCTTGTACTTATCGTTGTTTCCTTTTATGTCTGTCTTGTATGGTTGTATTTTCAGTACAAAGAACTCTGTCACCAAATTAAAGATTCATATTAAAATTCCCCCAAAAAGTCGGTAGATTTGTGTTCGGTAACATCAGTTAAATTGAAAATTAACTCAAAACATAATAATAATTTATATTACTGAATAAATTCATCCAGTTTGTAGAAGATTAAATCAAAATAGAATTCCATAATAGTAAAACTAGTACATTTAGAAGAGTACCAACCCACATGTATACTACAAACTGTCAAGATGGGATCTACTTAATTAATCTTAATTAATTATATTCGTTTTAATTAAAACAATTTTAATTAATAAGTTAATATATTAATAAATGATAAAATTTGCAATATATGTATAACTTCAGCAAAAAATAATCTACTGTTGTTTTTAGTATTAGAGTACATTTAATTTACTAACCTTTTAATATGTTAAGCAGTTCTTGTTTATGTACTGACCTAGTTGTGTCATCATATGCTTTACACTGATGCCCTTCATATAATTCCACAGCAGTTTTGCCATTCTTAATTGTGTAATAGATGAAAGCAAAAAAAAAATTGAATGGTTATTATTAATGTAATATGATGTCTCCATTTGGTGATCCTAAATAAATAGAATGGTTGTTGGTATGAATAGATAATGTATACAGAGCCTTATATAATCAATAATTAAAAACCTATAAATTACCTGTACAATACCTGCAAAACTAAATTCCATACTATTGATCCTGATATTAATAAAATATGAGATTATACCTTCACTATAATATTAAGACAGTATAGCAGTACATGATATTGTTAGTTACACATTAAATACAGTGTTCTATACGTTGTTTTATTGCAACATTGCACCATTAGGGAGCTACAGCATATAATGTTTATAAAAAGAGACTTTATGCAATCATCAATAAAATGCATTTTTAGCTTACTTTGTCTTTTACAGAAGACATATTTCTCTGATGCTTCAGTAATGCAAGAGCCACCGAAAGATGGTGTTTATAAGTTTGATCAGGTAACAAAAAACAATGATGTAGAGGAGTGTGGCCATCCTAAAATAAATGCATTGAAAACCTTTATATTATATTTAATAAAAACTATATATTGTTACTATGGATGTACAGTTAACATAATTAAGTGAGGAGAGAACTCGACCAGGCAATGTTCACTCAGCCGAATGCAAATGAGGAAACGCCAAAGCTCCCACAGTGTGCAGTTTTGTGATGCCTTTGAAGTCTGTTCTTCACCAGTACATATCAAAATTTAAAGTATCTTGTTTTTATATTGGGTACTAAGTACGATCCATTTCAATGGTTGTGCAACTGTTTCCAATATAAAGCCAATAAATTTATCTGAAAATACAAATATTGTCAACAGAAAAATGTATTTAAATTTTAAGAAATATTGAAATGAACATTTAAAGTATGGTAACTAATATCAACTTGAATTTTTGAAAATTGAAAAGATGAACTCAATAGTTCTAATTGAAACACAGTATATCGATCAAGGAAAGACTAAAGATAACAATACTAATCAATTCAGTGTGAAAACATGTGGAGTACTACAAACTTTAATTGAAGGAGTAGTTTTTAAAGTGTCACTGAGATCTTGCCAAAAACCTATGCAAATCAGGTCTGCAGATTATCAAGCACTGTTATTATTTATCTATTACAGTATAAGCAGCAAAATCTAATTTGAATATTATTTGATTTCGTAGCTGCCAACCAAGCTATAGTTTCCAAGTTTAATAGTTTAGTACTGTTTTTTTAAATGTATGTATGGATTGTATTAAGATTCTTTTCTAAATAAAAATGAAATAAAAGATGGATTGATGGATGGATGGATGGATGGATGGATGAATGGATGGGTGGATAAGAAAACCTGTCTGTCAAACTAACAATGTTTATATTTAAATGCTTAATTTTTATAACATAGCTACTGGACTTCAATTAAAAATGAGAAAATATTCTACTGACCTATTAATGTATTATAAAAATTACAAAAATAATCATACCATGTCCATATCCCAGATTGGCTATTAATTAATTCAAGAATTTTCCTAGTAGAAAGTCTGTAATTAGCTAAAATATATTTCACAAATAAAAAAAAAAAAACCAAAATATTTGTTTTGATGAACCACAATTGAGCAATGTACAGTATCTGATTGTTTTAAATGACCTATTAAATGCTCTTTGGATTATTTCCCTAAATTTTATGGTGTGTCAATCTCATCATGGATTTATAATAATTCTATAGTACGGTGCTTTAAATTTCTGCAATTTAATATTTCTAATACTTACCTTGTTTTTCAGAACCTGTGCCCCAGCATCTAATAGAAGCTCCAATATGCTTGCATGGCCATTGTAGGCGGCCAGATGTAGAGCTGTATTACCAAAACTCTGTCGAGGAATATTAATGATATTTAATCTTTATGCAATTTTAATTAAGTTCTTCAAGTTGGACTTCTTTTACATTTTGATGTTGATGTTAACTCTTATTTTAACAGTTGTTGCCAGAGGAAAAGAAAATGAACAAACAAGCCAAATGAGTCACAAACATGCTGCAATGTTATAAAATTTGAAATCTACTTTATTGCATTAAAATATCCTTTATAATATCTATACACCATGCTATGTTGTTATTTTTCTCATTTTGAATGTTAAACAATTTTAACAATTTAAATGATGGTTTCTGCCTGAGAATTGCCTGAAATTGTAAACTTTGAAGGCTGATTTCTCAAATATTGTTCTTTAAACAGCTGTATGTTTAAACCCCTGTAACTTCATAACGAATGTTGGGTTTAAATGATTCTTTTTAACCATTTTATAGCTCTCATGTTAGTACTGTTTAACCCTGTATTAATAAATAAAAAAAATTTTTTAGGCCATATTAATTAAATTGTTTGTCTCAAAGCTCCCTTCTTGTGAAAAAACTAATGCGGAATGCGGTTTTTTTTTTTAAATTTTTTTTTATTTTGGATTTTTTTAAAGTACTGTATGCAGAATAAATACAAATATTTACTGTTGATGTGACCATAGGTTGATTGCATAACACATGTATAATGCTACATCGAATAAAAAACAAAGATAAACTGAATTAGAATATTGTCTTTTTTATTTTCTATGTATGAAACCTTGAAAAACTTTGTACTATAGATACAACCACCACATGCATTAAAATCACAAAACATGCTTGATAATAAAGGTGGGGCAGTCCCACACAGTTTTTTTAACATCTGAAACGCCATCCGGGAGTCGAAAATTGCGCTGTCTGCAAAAAAAGTTTCAAGGTATTTCCGTACGGGGCGTCGTTTGGGACACTGCTATTTATGTCTTTAAATAGGCATTCTGTTGCTACAGAAATAATTATGTACCACAGAATTATTAATTTCAAAATATTCTGTGCTACATAATTATTTCTGTTATTACAGAAATAATTATGTACCACAGAATTATTACTTACAGACTATTCTGTGTACATAATTATTTCTGTAACAACAGAAATAATTATGTACCACACAATTATTACTTTCAAACTATTCTGTGATAACAGAAATAATTATGTACTACAGAATTATTTCTGTGCTCACAGAAATAATTCTGTGCAGGACAGAAATAATTCTGTGCACACAGAATTATTTCTGTTCGGACAGAATTTTTTCTGTCCTCTCACTATGCAAATTGGAAGGTGGCATTTCCATCAAACATCCAATGAAATCATGAGTGTCTGTTACTGTCCTTAGAGAATGAGCAACTTCGTGGTTTTTTCAGCAGCAGAGTATTACTTGTCATAATATAGAGCAGTAAACCGTCATTCCTTTTCCTTATATTTACAAGCACAACTTACTTCCATGTAAAAAGAAATAC